AAAAAAAAAAAAATTTGCGGATAACTCCTGATATCATCATCATCATCTGAATTTTACCCCAATTATTTGGTGTTGGCTAGGATAACTCCTTAAACTTGACACCCCTATAAAATCTCATCAAGGGCATGGGCATTTAAAACAACAGTATTCTCCACTATATTGAAAATCTTAGTCTTGTTTTTTTTTGAGCAAGTGGACGATTGTATTAAGCATGAAGTTGGGGATACATGATTGAAGTATGGTGTCCCACAGGCCAGGCACTCTGCATTGCAAAAATGTTATGTAGCTATTTTCCATATATCCAAAAAATATGTGAAGAAACCATTACAGCTGTATGAAAGGGCACAAATTCCACGGACCATAACTCCAAAAGGCGCTGAAAAGGGTCTAGGTCACACTTCTGGAGTTGGCTCCATTTTTGGAGAGGCAGTCAGCTTCATAGTTTGCTTTGCGCCATGTATAATGAAAAAAGGTGTACATATGCCTGCATAAGTCGAAAATAGTGTTCTAGTCCACAGGCATGATGAAGTTCTTGATGCCCAAGAGAACATTTTTGGAGTTCCCCCTTAATGACCAAGAAGAGGCTCCAATCGGAATTAAAACTTTTGATGCCCACAAGAATGGTTATGGCCACAGCAGTAGTGGATTCAGCATGACCAATAAGTCTCGAGTAAGGAATAGGGTGTCAGTAGGGTGCTACGATCTCTGTCTCTAAAAATTCTTGCCCAGGTAGCTGAGGGAGTAACCATAGAAGTTTGAGTGTGATATGACCTTGTTCCGGTAGTTGCCAAAGAGATGAGGCCTTAAGTTTAACAAAGCTTGCGACACATGAAAGATTGGGACCTTGAAAAGGGTTGCCTTGATTAAAGTGAGCTGACTAGCCAATTAGAGAAACTGGCTTTTCCAAGCGGAAAGTTTGCAATCAAATTTCTCAATGATGAGATCCCAAAGCTGCTTCTTCGGTCTACCAATACAGAGAGGTAATCCTGGGTATTTGATGGACAGCTGCTAACCCCACACCCCAATTAGCAAGGCCTAGGACTACCTGGAGGAAAGTTGCTACACCCATTATTTTGGATTTGGTCACATTGATCTTGAACCCAGTGTCTAATTCAAGGCATGGCTAATTCAAGGCATTTAAGGTAGAGGCGGAAAGTGTCAACTTGATGTTCCGTTGCACAGTAGAAGACCAGGGTATAGTAGGCGTATTGGAGGTGTGAGATCATTGGATCTTGATTTGCAATCCTTGAGCCTTCCAGGAGCAGCTCTTCCTGCAAACTATTAAGTATCTTCAGGAACTTCAACGTCTACTATTTGGTACCCGTATCAGTTGCATGAACATTCACTCGCAATGTTCACTCTTATGATTTACCAAAAGTTAAAACACACTTTCTTCTTTGACGTAAAGGTGACAAAAAAACACACTTTACATCAATTCCTACAACACAATTTATTTAGCTATGCAAAAACATATATATGGATAAGCTACTGGCAGAGTGAATCAATGGAGCTTCGTATGAATAAAGCAAAGCAGCAGACCCAATGGCAACTGCATTCACATTTCGGCTATCTTGAGCAACCACCAAAGTTCCTTTAAAGGTGCCTTAAAATCATCCAAACCTCAATTGAAAAGGTATATCAAGTCACTGTACCAACAATGCTCCTGGCAATGCCTGACCTCTTACAAAGCTGAATAAGGAGAATGTTAATGAGATCATTCCTGGAGAAAGTAACAGACTAAGCAGAAGAACAAGAGACACTAAGATTGAACACCATTTTGAGTAAGATACTATGAAATAGTAAAGAAAAGCAGAAAACAAAACCAAAGGAGGATCTTTATTCAACTCAACTACCATTCCAGAAACCCAATTAAAACACATCATTCACAAACGACTGGAACTGCTTTAGTGTCTGCAGTTGCTTTAATGAGAAAAAGGTATCCAATCACGAAAAAAAAAATGTGCAAGAAAAAATACCTCGTTAAAGTCCAGGGAGGACATGTCACACTTCTCTACCTGCTGAACCATCCGTTGCTGCTACACCGCTTCACAAATGATTGCATAATCTGCCAGGCCAGTAAACCAAGTGAGACTATGCTTATTTATTCACATGATAACCGCATAACCATGCATCCAAGTATCTCAGGAGTAGACATCCAAGCATATCCTTCAATCTATATGGCTCCGACAGTTCCAAAAAGGTGCCTGAAAACAATCAATACCTAATCATCTAGTTTGTAAAACCAAAGAAATGCACTCATGTTTGCCATTACATAATATATAATTCACAAAAGGAATGAATTACTAAACCGTAGACAACCAGAACTGGCATTAATAAATATAATGGAAGTTAAGAACATGCAGGATAAAGTTGCTATTACTCCACAGGAAAAACTGCCTGTGAGGAATCAATTAAGAAAAGAAAATCTGAATTGTCCAAGTGCACAGATAATCTGAAAGCACTTTAATTTTCAAGTAATCCAAGTTAAGTTTGAAAATTCAAGTGAGTAAAATTCTCATTTCAAGCTTAATTCAAACCAATACGAACACCAACCCTGACTTATATGGACATCATTGATTTCTTTTTAATCAAAGCCAGAAACCTTTGTGACAAGCTCATTCAAGCAATAAATGGTTTCAGATTTGATCAGCTCAACAATATATAGCACGCTGCCTTTTTCTCCATATAAGTTGCCGCATGCATAAAACTCAATGTATATACCAATACCAATAGCATCAGGCATCCAATATGTGAATTCTTTCCTGTAAGCAACAAATTCTTTCCTGTAAGCAACAAACTTCTGGAGTACAAGGATGATGTGCATAGGGCAGAGAGCTGCATGATCAAAACTTTGAAATTCAATCAACTGAAAAATCAAGACACAATAAACACCCATGCATGCAGGCACGCGCGCACACACACAAAGCAATATCTGTTTCCATTAGTTTTATAAGTAATTTTCTCTTCAAACATGAGCAATTGCCCAATATAAACTCTGAATGGTATACAATAACATGAGTTAAAAATGACTTAAAAATTAGACATTCATGTTAAATTCTGACTTTTTCTTCTCTTGAAAGTTAAAGCATTAACCTAAAAATTCAGCTTGTGCTGCTCTTGATTTCAGTTTTTATTGCCAAGGTGGGTGACACATCTATAAAGGCATACATCTTTTCTTTAACAAAAAGGAGACATGCAGGTTATTGATTGGATATACATGGATTCTATTCAGAGATCATGGGTAAGAACATTATTCTTAATATACCAGACCTTTGCCCAAGGATTCTTTCCACAGGGAAGCCTTTGCTCAATGCCTCCACTTGTGGTGCGAAAAATGATCTTACCTCCTACTTCTAACCTAAGCCAAGATGGCAGAGTGGAGGCTTTAATCACATGCTATCATCCCCAGGTCATTCTCCCCAAAAAGAATTGAGTTAGCATCAATCTTCAAGTCAAAATCCGTCGAGTCGAGGCAAGAAAATAAAATGAGTCTGGCTTTTCTATGAAAGAGAAGCCACACGTGGTTCTTATTTCCTATAAGGAAGCCCCTCTCAGAAACTATAGCAAAATGACAAACAATACCAATTACCACAAATCGTCAACAGAAAGAACTTGAAAATAAACATATTCATGACCACATTTCGAGTTTCTCTGATCCTCAAAGAAAATGAAATATTCAGGTCCTCAAAAGGATAAAACTAAATGTTCACAATCCAGGCACTATAAAACCAATTAAAAAAAACTACATTCAAAGGACTGATTCCACACACTTCCGAACTTGAAACTCAGTCTTAAATAGAACATAGGAATTACCTCCCTGCTGGACAGCCACAAATTTGGAGAAAATGTCATCAACTAAAATGTCAATCCTTCTTATATGAGCACGGAATTCTACTGCAATACCAACACGAGTGAATTGCTCTTTGATCTCCAGTGGAACAGAATTACTTCCATCCTGTCCATTTTGCTCCTATTTGTCAACTCAGTAGTGATGTCATCGATGTATACGAGAATACTTCACCAACATAACCTGTGACCAACTCTATCCAGAAAGGCACTATGTTCTCTCAGATAGAATCCAGAGTCCTTGGAAGATGAATAACACCATGCCTACAGTCTCAATGCCATGTCCAATCTGCCCATCCAGTCACCTGCCTGCTGCAAGACTTGAACACGTTCTTTCCATGGAAGAAGTTGAAAAATCAACAGGTGTGAGGGCCCAGAATATAGATACTTGCACCTCTTACAGCAGTGGAATTATGGTAGGCTTTCTCAGGATTCCCGAAAGAAAAACAAGACAACTGATACGACCAAAGAAAAACAAGGCAACTGACACGACCAAAGAAAAACAAGACAATTGACAAAGATATCGCTACAACAAAATAGTGAGCTCGAGTTCAGCTCATTCCATCCATAAAATGAGAAAATATGTACATATGAAAAGTAGGGGAGGAGAAGGGCAAAATGACAAAGTATATGGCATATCTTTGTTATTCTCTATGGACTCCTTTGTAAATAAAAAATCAAAACTCCTCTCTTGAGATGCAATTCACAGAGTACCAACTGTTTCTAGTACTCTTTTGTAAACTATACAAAATAAAGTTCCTCTCTCTTGAGATGTAATTGACATTTGACAGATTATCAACTTATGCTTTAAAAAGAATTTATCCCCAGAATAAATAAAAAACCTTAGCTTTATGAAAAATAAAAAACATATACAAACACCACACAAAATCAAGTTAAAATTTTGTGTGTGCCAGAACCGACTTTGACTGGTAGAAACTAGAGAGGCCGCACTTTATTTTATAGTTCCAATTCCTCTTAGAGATGTGCAGTTAATGAACCAGAAAGATAAACAAAAGATGCATAAAAAAGTGAATTACATCTTTTAGCTTCTTGCGAAGAAACTCCAAATATAATCCACAGTAAAACAATAGTTCCCAATAACACTTACAAGCAGGTATCAAACTTCTTCAGAGCTCACTAATGATTGGAAAGCGTAAAACCCCATGAAAAATCACTATGTCAATTTGCATCTCTTAATCTGAACTGTTATAAAAATAGGAGAATGCCTGATTACAAAAGAAATTGATTACAATAAAGAAAGGAAGGAAAATTCCCTAGCTAACTAGGAGAATCTCATACATATCACAATGACCTCTTTAACTTCATTTTCAGAACTAACAGAACCCTAATATAAATTCCACAAGAGGGACCCAGTTTGGGTCTTTGGGATATCTAGACCTGTGCGGTGCCTTCAGTAAAGCCAGGGTCTTCACATCTGTACCTTCCATCAGGTCCAATACCAAAGCCTTTTGGGTCAGCAAACACATTCTCGAGGAGCTGGCTCCGAGGTGGGAGAGGGCTTTTGTCTGCAAATTCAACTGCCTCTTCAACTATCTCATCAATCTTCTTCTCGATAACTTTCAACTCCGATTCATTTGCTAGGTTGTTCTCAATGATGTACTTCTTCAGGGCCATTATTGGGTCTCTTGCAGCATAGTGAGCCTTCTCAGCTGGCAAGACAGAGAGAGGAATAAGCATCAAATATATAGTGCACATACAAGCAAAGAAAAATTCTGAGTGGAGTAAAACAGTACTGATGTGAGCGCAAGGTGTAATTTCTTGTTTGTGTAAGATTGCAACCATATGTTCTTCAAGCATTAGTAAACCAACATGCAAAAACAAGTATAAGAGAAAATCAAAGATTGGCTGGGAAACAAAAGCCAAAATCTGCCACTTTGAATCTTCCCTCCCTCCCCTCCAGTTTTTTCTAATTCTAAGTATTCATTAAACATGATGTTAACAACAAGTACTACTACATGTTTTACTAACAGTTGCAAATAATCATCTCTAAGACAGAGACCTAATCTTTCCATGCTTACTCAAAATCCCAAACAAAGCCACAAGCTTTAAGGTTGAATGGGGAATGGAAAGAATAATGAATTCAGTCGTTAAAGATAACAAGTAAATGGAAGGGGACAGGAGCATTACGAGTGTCAGCTCCATGCTCAAAAGGAGATCAAACCTTATGAATTCAACCTAGGGAAATAGCATGAGATTATTCAAGTAGCTGAAATTTTTACTCTCATGAAATATCAATTTTATTCTGATGAAATAAAGAAGAAATGCTCAAGTCATATTCCAGGTAAGAGTGGCTATCTTTTCTCCTCTTCCCTAGTTTAGCTAATCTAATTTAGCCAGAAATAGTTTAGCTATATAAATGCTTTGTCCAAAGAAGAACAAGCCCAAAGCCAACATCACTGATGCAAAGACTTACTAGTCTCCCTCACCATTCTCCAATTACACCCCTTACAGGTCTTCCCAACTGTCTCCAATGCTTCCCACCCTCATATAACAGGTACTACCCAGAACCTGTTAGCCGTTCAGTAAGAACCAATATCTCCATTTCCTTATCTTTCTAAAGAATTGTCTTTCTAAAAGGTAAACTTACTATCCGAAAGATAAGCTTTTTGTAAAACTCACAGACCGCTGAAATAAAAAAACGAAAACGGGCTCTTATCATCACTTTTCAAAGAAAACAACTTACTAAGAATAAAACAACTCTTGTCCCTTCTTCTTTTTTCCACACAAAAAAAAAAAAAACAGACAACGTAATAAAAAACCCGTACCAACTAAAATAAATGAAATTCCTATAAATTGACCCATAAAAAAAAAGAAATAATTAAGTCCCCCAAAATTGAGAAGAACAAAAAATATTGAATCCCAACTCTGGAACAGCAGCAATCTCCCTCTCTAGAGCCCTCGGGGTAAATGGATGAAGGCCGAGATGGGGCAGCCATCTAATGGACGGTTTGTAACAGGCATATCAGAACCTGGCGTCACAAGGGTGAGGTAAGTCTTGAACCTCCTTTTGTGCTACCTGTATTTTAAAAAAATTGGGATTTTTCAAGTGTTCCCTTTCTCTCTCATTCACTCTACTTGTTCAACCAAAAAAAAAATGAAAGCAAACTCCTCCCACTTACAAGCCCCAAGGTATGTTCTCTTTCCTATGGTTAACTTTAAAAAGGACAAGAAATTCCCTAACCTAAATCCACTGACTGGTTGTATGTCAGTCATCTCATTAATTCCAGGGGCCAATCATTTACTCTATATCTCCTATCACCACCATATATCGCCCTTCTTCATCTTCCCATGCAAATGCTGTTATGCGCCCCCAAATACCAACAGCGAGCATTTGAGATATAACCCCTTTCCCTTCAACTCAGCTAGAAAACATTAATACTTTAAATTAACAACCCTAGCAATCATTCATTTGAAATTGAGAAATCCATCAACAACATAAACCTTATTTTCACAATCTTTGCATCAAATTGGGTCAAATTTACTTACAAGTTGATTAACCACATAAGACGCCATCCTATGACTAGTAAATTTCTTCTCTATCTATCTGTCTATGTGCATGTGTTTAATAAAAGATAATAAACAGCTTGCAAAGTTCTTATCATTCAATCAGAGACATCAAAGCCAAAAGATCACCATATGAAAGTCTAAAAACGAGCCAGAACAGAAAAAAGTATTACACCAGTCAAAGTGTGTGGTGCAACAACACAAGTAGCTTCAATTGACAATTCTTATGTAGTATGGCCATGAGAGCATGCAATACGAATCAATGAGAAATAGAACAGTTTCCAAATCGAAAGAAACAGACTATATATAAACACAAAATATGCAACCAAATCAATAAACAAAACCAGAGAAGCAACACGTGTGCAGACATGCGTGTGCCCACACAAACACACACACACCCACATGCATGCACACACAAATACACACAGCATGTGCACACACGTGAACACATACACACAGAACTAAATAGAGAGAGAGATAGATTGAGTCCTCACTCTCTTGGCCTCCCCCTCCTCTCTCTCTCTCACCCACCCTTCATCATGTCTCCTCTCTCTCTTGCCACCCTTCATCACCCTCCCCACACCCTCAACTCTATATCTCAGAGATTTTTGTATTAAAGACACATCACAGAGAACAGGAGGCTCAAGTAGCACAATTTTGTATAGGCACAAAGAATAACATTTTAGTAAGCAGCATTTGTAAATCATACAATACAGTCAACTTCATCAAAAAATAAGAGCCCCATTGTTACTTTCATGAAAAAGGCACAAATTCATAAGTGCACACATAGTCATATACAGAGAGGTGAGAAGAGAAAATCTTAGTCCAATCACAACTTATTAAGCGAACAAAGGGAACCCAACACTCATACAATTTCCAAATATTATTAGCCAAATAACTAAGCAACATTATAACAGACACGTAACCACAAACACATGCATGCAAACAAAAAAATGGAGAGAAAAAGAGAGAGAGAGAGGATGCATTGTGGCATAATCTTGCAATTATCCCTATCATTCCAGCATTGGAAGCATACAATCCAAATTAACAGAAACACGACACAGAAAAAGGAGTATCCCAAATAAAGAAAAATGAAATCAAAATCCAAACAATCCACAATAAAAATTTCTCCAAAATAAAAAAGAAAAGCAGTGGTCACATACCCGGATCACGAAGCTCATCAGGGTCAGCAAGCGAATGCCCTCTAAACCGGTAAGTCTCACACTCAACAAGTGTCGGCCCCTCTCCCCTTCTCGCTCTCCCTATCGCCTCCTTTGCCACCTCTCTCACCTTCAACACATCCATCCCATCAACATGAATGCCCGGCATCCCGAATGCCGGCCCCTTCTTCCAAATCTCAGGATCACTGGTTGCTCTCAGATGCGACATACCAATAGCCCACAAATTATTTTCCACCACAAAAACAATGGGCAATTTCCAAAGAGCCGCCATGTTCAAGCACTCGAAGAATTGGCCATTGTTACAGGTCCCATCCCCAAAAAAGGCCAAAGTCACATCATCACACTCCTCTTTGAGCACCTCTCTCCTATATTTCGAAGAGAAGGCAGCACCAGTAGCAACTGGTATGCCTTCTCCTATGAAAGCGAAGCCACCGAGCACATTGTGCTCTTTTGAGAACATGTGCATTGAACCACCTTGGCCTCTGCAACAACCAGTGGTTTTGCCAAAGAGCTCACTCATAACAGATCGAGCTGAGACCCCTTTGCTTAAAGAATGGACATGGTCTCTATACGTACTAACAACAGAGTCTGATTGCGTTAGGAGTTTGATGAAGCCTGTGGAGACAGCTTCTTGGCCATTGTAGAGGTGGACAAAGCCGAACATTTTGCCTCTGTAATACATTTGGGCGCACATATCCTCAAAGGAGCGGCCTAGGATCATGTCCTCATAGAGCTCAAGGCCTTCTTCTCTAGTGATCAACTGTGAATTCAATAGAGAATATGAATGAGTGAATGTGGGGAGCAGGGGGTTTTGGCTTCTTGGGTCACTTCTGTTTGTAATAGTTGGGGGTTTTGATCTCTCTCTCTCCGGCTCTCCTCTACAAATCAAAAGTAGATTCAAGCCAAAATTCAAAAATTCTCTCTCTCTCTCTCTGGAAAAGGAACCATTTTCATATGCTCTCTCTCTCTCTAGACTTCATGATGTGATCTAAAGCAGAATTGAAAAAGATGGGCTTTGTAATTTCACTTCTTTGGGGACTTACCAGGCCTGATGCAGCAGATTTCGACGTCTTCTCCTTGACAAGCTCCGAAATGGCGACAATGGTGGATGGGGATGCAGCACGAGGAAGATCCGAAACGCCCCGCCTTCTTCGAAGATTTGGGATCCTCTGAATTGAGCCCAAAAAGGGGTTGCTGATGGTCTTGAGACATGAAGGGCTCTTCTCTGCAAATTTTTTGGAGTTGAGGCCATGGAGCTGAGGGGGTTGGATCTTGAGAGCCGAGAACGCAGACATTGTCTCAGAAGAAGAAGAAAAACTGGTTTAGAGAGAGAAAGAGAGAGGGAAGAGTTCAGGGCCTAGAGAGAGAGGTAGAGAGAGAATATAAGGAGGAAAGAGGGCGGAGAAGGCGAAGTTGTAAATGGTTACATTTTTGCAGAGAGAGAATATGAGGAGGAGAGAGGGCGGAGAAGGCGAAGTAGCAAATGGCCTCAGTATTATCAGCACCTATGTTATGCTCTCACGGGAGCATACTATATATCTACTCCCTCAGTTAAAAGACCTTGGATGATTCCTTCTATGTGAATTTTGGGAACTACATGTGAATTTAGATGCTTATTTCACAAAAAAAAAAAAAATTTGGCTTTTCTTAGATTTACCTATCTCATGCTCCAAAAATTGCCTCAGTCTCTATTCAATCGTAGGACATTATCGTTTAGATAAGGTTTATGTGAGTCCACTTACTCATCTATTTAAATGAATCCTTTTTCTGTAATTTATTTTAGAGATGGACTTCAAATTGAAATTTTTAGGGAACAAAAATCTTAATCATGAAGAATAAAAATTTGAAAAAAAAAATAAAAATAAAATAATATATTTTTAAATTTTTATATATAGTTTTAATACCATCAATTTAAAATTTTAGTGAGGCCAACATTTTCTAACATCTACCTATAAGAATGTTTAATACGTATGAGATGTTATTATAGAAGTGCGCCTCCTGACTCACAAGCTACTTTTCATTTTTCTTTCAAGTGCATAGAGAGTGTAATTGGAGATATTTTTTATTGGGGTCAATCTATGCATTGAAGAATTCTATAATCAAAGCTTTTTACCAACTATTTGGGATCGGCTATACGAATTTTGATCCGTCATTATACTCTATTAAAGACCATACTATCAGTGAGGCTTTAAGTCCACATATCTTTTCTCGCTACTTTCAACTATACGCCTATTATCCTTTTCTAGCCTTCGACTTGAATCAACATGAACCTCTTAGCAAGTGTTATACCGAGTCTGCGTTGCACATGATTAGTCCACTCGAGTCTGCTTTCTCTCATCTTATATTAAATTTGGAAGTAAATGGGAAGTATTAAATGAGTCGAAAAATTTTCATCCCCGAAATTTTGGGTCATAAATTTCATCCTATATTAAGTTTTATCTTAGGGAGTATATAGGAAGTATACTCCTCTAGGAGCATGAATTTTTTTGCTATTATTATTATATATTTCTTGTTAACTAGGAAGTTTGTGTTCATATTCTGTTCTTTCAAGGTTTAAAATACATTTTAAAGTTTATGCCCATGTCTTATTTAGTAAATTTTTATTTTTTCAAAAATAAGCTTATGTTTTTTTTTTTTCTTTTTTTTCCTTTTCTTAGTCAAATTCTAAACCCGAAATATATCTGAAAATACAATGTAAGATCGTGGAGCTCCATTCCAAATTTAAAAACTTGTAATTTCCATTTGAATAACCAGTTGGATCTCCTCCTTCTAACCAATTTCTTACACAAGTATTTTATTAAAAAGCTGGGTTCTAATCCATTATTTTAAAACCCGGATCAGCTGGGTGAAGTGGCCATCTACAATGCCGTCTGAATCAGCAAATTGGGCCTCACTCCAGTATGAGAATCAATTCAAAATAATAATAATAATAATATTATGAAGGAAAAAAGTGAAAAATATAATATATTGGAACTGGGTGATCCGGCCCCTTATAAAACGGTGAGTTTGAGGAAATCAGATTGGTTCTCGGCACTAACAGGGACCAACCTCAGTCTAAAACGAATCGGATCAGCATTTCTTGATTTTATTGCCGAGGTTTTTAGACATTGTTCCGGTTTGTTCTAAATATTTGTAGTATTTTTTTTGGGGAATAATTGGGTCGGATCTCCTACTTACAACCCTATTTTCCACACTTTGATTTTTTATAAAAATACCAACTATCAACATGAAGTTCCATTCGATCTTAAGAACTTGTTTAACTAGGAAAAAGATAAAAAGTTCAGGTTAGAACAAGATGCTGACATTTTGGAGGAAAAAAAAAAAATCAAAAGAAATGCACAAAACTGCTCAGTTCAAAATATAATGCAAATTTTTTTTTAATGTAAATGGATACTAGTGAAAATTGTCCTTTTTTAAAAAAAACTAAGGCCTAGAAATGATGATGATATGATTTCGACTATATATTAGAAGAGAGTATCAATTTAAACTAGGCCAATATCATATGAAATTTATGATGCTTGTTTCTTCAAAATGAATTCCCTCCTATAACATGTTTTCCTTCAAAAGAGCAACCGAGTTTTAGAGAGGGAACTCGGATTGAGTTTCAAAATAATTCTTTTTTTTTTTTGGGAAAAAACTTCTGTACGGATTATATTTTGAGACTTAAAAAAGTCCAAAATTTTGAAAGTTTTACGGCAGGGTCCTACCTTCTTGTTTTTTTTTCTTTTATGATTCTTCCCCTAGTTAACAACCAACCGTTGGAACTGTAAGATGTTGCCACTTTCAAACCGCCCCATTGTGTCCAAAGAGCAGTTAAGAAATCTTGTTATTTTTATTTTATTTTTGTTAAGAGGACAAAATGTTTAAGGTCTCTTGGATAAAAATAAGTCATTCAAATAAGAAAAAAGTTTATATAGAGTCGAGGTTCCAAAGAATCAATTAAAGCTTATTTCAAAATTTCAGAGCTTGCCTCAAAAATTTCACGACAAGAGGTTGTTTTGATGCCCAAATATTCTCAAATTGATCATCTCAAATCAAGATGCATGGACATGAGAAAAAAGTAGATTTCAAGTTTTAAAAATAGTGCACCTAGTAATATATTTTTGAACTATCAATTTTCAAGATTTTTAAGCTTTCATAGATCTACTGGATCTACTAAATTTTTTAAGCTTTAAATTTTATAACTAAAAATGAAAATATATTTTAAGGCTATCACCAATATTTTCAATATTGAAACCATATTTTTCTACACTATTTGAATGTGCAATTTACTTTGATCGTTTAGAGCGTGCGCTTTATACAAACTGCACCCAAGAAGAATATGATCCATTAAACGTTCATCTATCATTCTAACATTACTTTTCTCATCTACGAAGTTCAAAAGATATTATGCTCCTGTGGTAGCTTAGTATTAATTTACTCCCTCATACAAAACCTAATCTTCAACCCATAAACTAATCTCAATGTTTGAAATGAGCTTGAAAAAATAATGTCTACAAATTGGACATGGACAAACTAATTTTTGGATGGTGAAATCTAAAGTGTTGGAAAATTCAAAATTCAACATTTTTCTTTTAAAAAATATTCATCTAGTAATTCATAAAAGGTTTCAAATTTTTCAGATTAAAAAAATTTCTCCCATGTGGGGTTTGTTACTGAAGGAACAGATGTACACTATGCTTCCTCTAGTGATGCCCATATTTAATTTGCTCCAAGATTATGGAACGATGAGGATCCATACTCACTTATCATAATTACCAGATGCATGGATAAGCTAGAAGTTCTTGCTCCAATGGGAGTATACTATTTATTTACTCCCTCGGATATTACTCACTTTAGGAGTAATTTTAAGACCCCAAACTTTGGGGATGTAAACTTTTCCATCAATTGAGGGGAAAAAAAAATCCAAATTGGACTATTTATATACTTGAAAAGAAAATTGTCAGTTTACATCAATTGAGGGGAAAAAGAAAAATCCAAATTGGACTATTTGTATACTTGAAAAGAAAATTGTCTCAAGATTGAACAAAAAACTGTCCAAGTTTTAAAGGATGAGATCTAAGTACTAGAGAAGTCAAAATTCAAAATTTTTCATTTGAAAATAATTACTTTTTGATTCTTAAGTAGTTTCCAAAATTTCAATCTGAAAAAATTCTCGAAGTAAGAATTATGACGAGGGAGAAGAGACATGGTATGGTCTGGCAGGAGCATAGTCTACATGCTCGATAAATAATTGAATATATTAGATTACTCATATTAGAAATTGTAATATCATACGATTATAATATTATATTAGGATTATTATTAGGTAGTGTAAGTGTACACTTATTATTATTAACACAACAACAATTACTATTATTATTATTTGATTTTATTATAATAATATAAATTTGTATAATATAATATTCATTATTAATAGAGCAATGATCTAACGCAACGGTGGTATCATAGTATAATACAACAACACTTTTAGAAAACCATGTTGGTGGTATTTGTATGATCCAAAATTTTGTACAAACACTCTCTTAATCTCAATAATCAAGTCCAAAAACAAAAAAAAAACAAAAAACAAAAAAGAGTTCACTTTGAACCTAGATATGGTGAAAATGAGTTCCCTCTTACAATAAATCTAGACCATTCATTTGATGATTTTCTAGATCTTAGCCTTTACAAACTCAAATTCATTTTTTATTTTTTAACATTGTTCATCGAATGATAATAAAGCCATCTAAACAAATTGAAAAAGATAAAAAAATCCTTCTAAGGCCTAGATCTAAATATCTTATCAAAATGGACGGTCTATATTGATTGGGCTAAAAAAATAATTTTTAGGTCGTGTTTTCAATTTTTGTCTTTTTTATGATGGTTCATTAGAATGAAAAGAGTGTATATTTGAAATATTGAATCAAACAAATGGCCCTAACATAGTTTTTGAATATTATAGTAGTATATTATTATACAGCCGCATAAAATCCCTACCCTTATTACCGTTATTTAATAGGAATATTTTTAGTTGTGATTTATGTAAAGTTGAAATTCAATGTTAGTCCATTGTAGCTTGGGAGTGGATGGAACACAAAGGTATGTCACAATCTTGGGAAACATAAATATTAAATAGAAAGTAGGTGGTGTTAGGTTACCATAATAGTAGCTTAAAAGGAACGATGACCCACAACGGTGTTAGCCTACGGATATTTCATGTTAGTATTGATATCTATCATTATGGATACATATCAGTATGGATATAGATACGTGTTAGTATTGATATACATCATTATGATACATATCAGTACGGATATAGATACGTATTAGTATTGATATCTATCATTATGGATACATATCAGTACAGATATAGATACGTGTTAGTATTGATATACATCATTATGGATACATATCAATATGGATATGGATATCTCGTGTTAGTTTTTTTAGATCCATCTGAAACCTAGTCAGCCTCGCTAGCCAACATGATCTAATCTTTTTTTATGATAAAGTTTTTCGTTACTCGATTTCGTATGATGATCCATTTTTTCGTTACTCGATCTCATCTAATGATCTAGTTTTTTCGTTACTTGATCCTATATGTTCCGAAGGCCTGTTGGTCTATTATTCCTTGAGTTCTCTGCAAACTGTTGAATCTGTTGGCTCTTCAATGTGTCATTGATCAAGTTTTTCGTTACTCGATCCCGTATACTTCGAAGGCCTGTTGCTTTGTTTTTGCTTGAGTTCTCTGCGAACTACTAAATCTATTGGGCGTTCGATGTACCATTCTATTTTATCAGTTGTCTCAATTGTTTTTCTGGTGAAGATCTTGAGTTTGAGTTCTTGGCTTGATGCCTCAAGTCTATTCCTGAGGCCGTCCGTTGTTCTGAGGCTTGTTGATCCGCGACTACAATTTGTGCTTGTTGTTCAAGTAATATATGCTTCTTGTTGTTGTTCAAGCAATATGTGCTTCTTATTCAAGCAATCTAAATATCACTACTCTTTTGCAACTAAGTATTGTTCAAACTCCAGCAGCAGCTGTTCTTTATTATTGTTCAAACTCCAGCTACTTTGTGTCAAAGCATCTTGTGTTTGAGTTTGATTGGGAGCGTTAGCATACTGATATCTACGGATACATATCAGTATGGATATGGATATCTCGTATTAGTATTAGTATTGATATACATCATTACTCATATCTCTTGATAAGATTAGTTAGTAACTATTGGTATCTATCCAGAACAAAACTGTTATTACATCCGTATATTTATAATATATGAGTCTTGTATATTCTTTATTAATCAATACACATAGATATAGAACTCTGTTATTAGCCGAACTCTGTTATTAGCCATATATTTATACGGGATCTTGTATATTTTTTATTAATCAATACATAGACGTAGAATTGTTATTAGTTGTATATTTTTGTCAATTTTTTTGTTCTCTAAATTTTTGAATTTTTTATTGACCAGTTCACTTTGCTAGATCGCCGATCCAAACTACTAATCTGCCAAACCAGACGAGTTTTCTTGATGGGCATTCTAGACGAAGAAGCTTCGGGGACATTTTAATCCTTCTAATTGCTCCCCGTGAATTTTAGGCGCGATATTTGAATTTCAGCCAATTCAAACTTCCCTTTACCTCATAGAGAAACAAAAAATATAGTCCAAACGCCCAATGTATTTTTCTTAAAAAAAAAAGAAACCCTATATGTTTAGCCTATATAAAAAAATTATCCATAATATTTTATATTTTACATTCAGTTCCACTTTTTATGAACACTTTTATTATTAATATTTCAATTTTATCTTTTTTCTATAAACCGGATTGAGCTTAAATTTTGTATTACAATACGTCTCATCATGATTTATATGTAAAAAATATTCATATATCATCATCATGCTAAAATAAATAAATTAAGACAGCTAATAAGCAAAAAAATTGGGGCATTTTGGTCATTTTGATAATTTTATATATTTAAAAATATCAGTTTTAATTTTCATGGTATGAAGAACCCAAAATTTGAGTTTACTCTAATGTGCAGGAAAACAAGTTAAATTCAAATACGATATACAATCTAAAAAAAGTGGCACATGAGCATAAAATACAAAATAATGAGAATAATTTTTGAATTATTTACCTATACGATCTTCCTTTGTTTTGGGTAATAATTCCATCTATCTTCATTGTTCTTGCCTAAACACCCAAAAATTATGTTTGGAAAGAGTAAATAATCAAACCTTAAACCCACTTTGACACCATTCAGAAACATTCCTCTCATCTAAATACAAATAACCTTCTTTCAGCACTAGACCTTCCATGATGGTCTGGTAACGGTCCATGCTTGGGACGATCCAACTTGGCTCTAGCTTGGCATGGTCCTCCCTATAAAATCATCCAGAGCCTGCTTGCCCCGGATCGGGCCGAAAGGCCCTGGCTTTGGCCTAGCCTTTGTCATGACCCAAACCTAGGCTCAACCTTGGCCCTGCTTTCATGCTATGATGGCTTGGCCCTCAAGCTACAAATTATGGCCCAAGCCCTAGTTTTCCAAGGCTAAGTCAACCCGCCAAGCCCATCCCTAGTACTGGTTAGATCTCCTCATCACATCAAAGAGTTAATTTTTCGTTTTCTTTTTCAATAGAATGTTGAAAAGTATCAGTTAAGGAAAATCGTTTGATAGGGCTGCATTCCTATTAAAATAAGTAAAGCCTCAATCATCGAAAATTGCAATTCAAGCATGATGGAAAACCTTTACATCGATCATCTTTACTTGAACATTATGGCTGTGAAAAAAAATAAGATTTTAAATTCTAAAAATAGTGTATATTGGAACAAATTATTTAAACCGTCCATTTCACCTTACAAATAAGTGTTCATAGATCCACAATATCTATATCACTTTTTGAGTTACAAATTCTATTGCCGTTATTGGAAATTCGTTTTAGATCCATCATGAAGATTTCTATCACCGAAAGTGCTTTTTGAATGAGGATTTGAGTTGAGGCTTTATTTTGCTTTCATAAAATCTAGGCTTTATAGAAACTTCATCCACCAATTAATGCTCTATCATAGTCATTTTAACGCAACTTTATAAAAAAGAAATTGTTTTGGCTTTGACATTATAAGAGATGTTCTTATTTTTTATGCATCTATGTTTTCAATCACTTTTCATTTCTATGTATAACAAAGAAAATCAGGATTAGTCCAAAAAATTCGTCTGGAGAAAATGAAATTTCCAGCGAGTCCTCGATCCCAAATTTAAATAAAGAGAAATCACCCAAGAGATTTAACTATCTCACATTTTACCCATTGGATTTGAAACTTCAAAATCCGATAAAATAACATTGATCATATAAGGGTTAAAATTTTTAGAAGTATTTTGATAATGGTGTGGTTTTTATAGAGCCCAGGCTCTAAACAATCAAAATAAAGCGTACCATCAAACATTGTTGAGAAATGTGGTTTCAATACTGAAAATATTTGTGATAGTCTTAAAATATATTTTTACCTTCAATTATAAAATTTAAAGCTTATAAAATAGTATAGATCGAACATATATATGAAAACTTGAAAATCTTGAAATTGACGGTCCAAAAATGTGTTACAAGATGTACTATTTTCAAAAATTTGAAATCCATTTTTTTTTCATGTCTATGCATCTTGATATCAAGATGATCAATTTGAGGATATTTGGGCAAAATTTTGAGGTGGGCTCTAATTTGATTATTTAGAGCCTCAGCTCTATATAAACTCTTTACTTTTTGATAAAAGGTGCAGTTTGTATAAGGTTAAGGCCCTAAACAATCGAAGTAAGGCACACCTTAAATAGTGTGAAAATATATTATTCCAGAATCATAAATCTTTTTGACGACCTAAAAATTCATTTTTATTTGTAAGTGTAAGATTTAAAGATTAAAAAATAGTTTAGACCGAGTAAATGTATGAAAACTTGAAAATCTAGAAAATTGACCGTCTAGATATTACATTACAAAATATATTATTTCCAATACTCGAAATATATTTTTTCTCATGTCCATATATCTTGAGGTCAACATGATCAAATTAAAGGTTCTTCAGCATCAAAACAACCTTTTCTAGTGAATTTTTGAGGTCCACCTTAATTTGATTGTTTAGGGCCTCGCCCTTATATAAACTTTTTCCTTTAAATGGATAAAATGTAAAGTCACGGGTACTTTAGTTGTATTTTTATATTCTAACTTAATTTCATACCATTTCCTTTTTAATGTCACTCAAATACAGTTGGAACCTCGTTCAAATATGGAATTAACCCCTTTGCCAATAATCCAATAAACTTTGAAAGCATTCTAGAGTTCATACCTATGGCATGAACTTTAATCCAAAATCCCCAAGTGCATCTCCCATATATTTGGTGGCAACCAATAAGACTTTTCTTTATGTATGTTAGAGAAAATTTATTTTGAAGTATACGTTTGGTAAATGTAGCAATCTAATTTCACATCTGATCGTCAATATCAATTGTGACTACCTTATATAAAGATAAATAGTCTCATTATCTGCCCTTCCTTAAACTTTTAAGACTTTGGACTCCCCCAAGTTATTCGGACTTGGCAAGTTGTCGAGTTTGATCATACAGGTCCAGTTGTCTGAAAACATGGATCAATGTGTGATGAATTGTCCGTCCCACAAGTCTGTGCCGAATCGCCAGTGCTGATATGTCCGAATCGGTGATCATGAAAATATTAAAAAATAAGAATAACGTACTTTTTTTTTGAGAGGGGGACCGGGCCATTACAAATTTCTTTCTAGAACTGATTTGGTCCCAGCCAATTGTTAATCCCGATTAGTGATTCCCCATTCTAATTGCCCGATTTCGAACACTAGTCAATCTTATGGAATTGACAGCATATAAACTCATCCTTGATTCGGGCTTGGGACCCAACAGGTCTCAACCAGAGTCGATGTTTTAAAACACTGCTCAGTAACGAAGCTTTCGAAAATTTAAAGTTCAAATGGAAATCAAGATGTACACACCACTAAGTTATTTTAAACTTCTTAGATAACATTAGAAATCATGATCTGGACCTCACTATGAGCCTTTTGTTCCTCTAGAATAACAATGACAGTTAACATTTCACAGAAAAACAAAAATCAAAGTGAACTCTTCTTACAACGAAGAGAATTATTTATTCCATGATTATCTTTAAACTCCAATTCCATTTATTTCATTAAGCATCCATAAGCTGGGTTAGTGTCTTAGCCCTTAACAAGTCAGATTATCCCCAGGAGCCACCCCTAATTGCTCACAGTAGCTCTGGTAGTAGCTCACACGCCTCGCAACAGCTGCCGACCCGGGCCCCCCATCGCACTCGAGCGCTCCGTTTATGGCCCTTATCGTGGCCCCAAACCCTTGGCCCGCGATGAATCCGGAGTGCACGTGGTTCATCCAGTACCATAGTGCGGTCCTGAAAGAGATCACGACGTCTGTCGCTACGGTCTCAGGTGCATTGAGGCCATCGAAGCCTATGCTCTCACCTGCAGGTCCGTAATTGAAGTTCCACGACAACTGGATCGGCCCGCGACCGAAGTACTTCTTGTCGGGGTTGCATGGATACTGTGTGTTCGTCTCGTCGCAGTAATCGCCGGACTCCCCGTTGATCTCCTCGATGTAGCAGAAATCTGTAGGTTTCACACAAAACAATTGTTATTAGAGGTTAATTGAGCATTTTAGTATCAGTCACTGAGACACTCAATTGAGTCAATACGTAACCAATTTCTAGTGAAGGATTACATGCTCTAATTGCTGACATAAACTTCATTTATGTGAAGTTTGAAAGAGAACTTGAGTTTCCTATTTGTAGTTTATGTAGCTTGAAAAATCAGTAGATAAGGAAAAGCAAAAATTTCTATAATTTACAGTTCTTTCTGAGAGAGACTCACGTCCAGTCTCGTGTGTCACATGTGCGAAGAAGGCCGCGACCTCTCGCTTCGAGTCGTCGAGGCTGCCGACCGTGCCGAACCCTGGGTAATTCCCAAGTGCAGTAAGGAAGGCATCGCGTGTGTAGAACCCCTTGCCCACGCACGAGGCCTCTGCCTGACCAATTATGCCATCGAAGAACGACTGGGTCGCTATGTCCGCAACCACTGCACCATTGCTAGGCGCGGGGGCATTACAAGGACCTTCCTGGCATCCTGCACCACAGTAATCGTCACCGGTCCCGCAGAAACCCCAGCGGCTGCAGCAAAGGTTAGAAGCACATCCGCAGTTCTGACCGACAACATAATCCGGCCAGAAGGCCGCGAAAACTCCCACCAACATGATCGGAATCAAGAGTTTGGAAACACCCATGTCTCAAATTGTGGAAAAATAAAGTACTTGTCTAATTTTCTACAAAAAAAAGAGGATACTTGTCTAGTTGTGTGAGATGGTTATTTATAGGTGAAGATCAAGGAGCTTTTTTTTTCTTTTCTTTTTTCAATTTTTTTTTTGGTCTTTGGTCATTTTCTAACGAGCTTAGTTATTTATTTCTTTTTGACTAGTCCTTCGACAAACAAACTAAAAGAGATGAGAAATTAAGACCGAGGGGGAAGCTACTAGAGTTGACGTGTGGTTTTTTTTTTATAGCCGAGGCCCTAAACAATTAAAGTAAAGCGCACCTTCAAATAGTATCGAGGGGTTTGTTTCAACACTGAAAATCTTTGTGATAGCCTTAAAATATATTTTTATAGTTAATTATAAAATTGGAAGCTTATAAAATAATGTAGATCGAGCAGATCTATGAAAACTTGAAAATATTGAAAATTGACGGTCCCAAAATGCGTTACAAGATGTATTATTTCTAAAACTTGAAATCCATTTGTTTCTCATGTCCTTGCATCTTGATGTCGAGATGATGAATTTTTCGATATTTGGGCATCAAAACGACCTCTTCTAATAAAATTTTTGAGGTGAGTTCTAATTTGATTGTTTAGAGCCTTGGTTCTATATCAACTTTTTCCATTAAAATTATATTAGATTTTGACTACTTCCATAAAGGCTTGGTTCGGCTCCGTAGGGCCTGGCTTGGCTTCTGTGTAAATCGGTCGGTTTATTTAGCTTAGCCTCGGCTCGGTTTGGCGTGACACTTGACCCGTTATTTGTTAACCAGATTTTCGTGCGTATTACAACGCGTGGTTTGACGGGCTACATTTGTTGACTTGTCCATCTAAAAAGAAAAGAACATGTCAAAAGTGTGAAAATAACGGTCTTTACTTTCGACTTTCCGTGCGCACTTTTTCTTTCTCTTTTTTCTTTTTTTTTCAATGATTTATCTTAAAAGATTGATGGTCAACCAATCATGGAGTATTGCTAGGGAGCGGGAAACGGGTCGGTTTGACTCGACGCTACGGTGGTTCGGAGGGATGAAATAGGGAAGGATGAGAGCAAAGATCTGGATCATAGATAGTAAGTCTTTACTTAAAACACGAGTTTTTTAAAAAATTCTTCAATTTTTTTAATCAGAATTCTGAGTTTTTCAAAAGAACTTCAAAACTTATGTTTTTTTTAATAGAACCGATATAAATCTATATTTTATTTTTTTTCATCAAGCTAAGTTGTTACCGCTTTTAAGCAGCTTTGGCCTCGTTCAATCAGCAAAAAAAAAAAAAAACAACAAGCCTTGCTTGTTTTTACGTTCCGACTGGCTTCTTGCGATGCCCTGGTTGTAGTGAGTGGTATTAGCGATTCGTTGCCAAATGCCATAACTAGCAACATAGATAAGAATGAGAAGCAATAACTATTCAAAAAAATTCTTAACTATAATTTTATATCTTCATAAATATAATATTATTGAATTTGGTTTAAAGATAAGCATATTAACAATAGAAGTAAATTAAAAATATTGATTTAATAAATAATTCCATCAAAAATTTAAAACAAAAGCTCCCTTAAAAAATTTAGGAAAAAATGTGAGCAATATATTCCCCAAAAAAAAATGATATCAAAAGAATCGTATATCTCATAATAATTGGTAGAGTTAGAAGAAGAGTAACCGAATGAAAATATTTTTTATTTTTTTAAATCTATTGGGTTCTTATAAATAACAAGAGAGAGATTTAGTGATACTAAATATTTAGGTAGCTAAGAATTCAGTGTGAAATTTGATTTTGCTTGAGAATTTTGTTGTTTTCTTTATGTATAGAGAAGTTTGATTCATTTTATTTTTTATTTTTTTATTTTATTGGTATATTCAATATTACATTTTTTTATGGACCACTATTTTGCATGTTTAGGTCCTTGTGTTTTATGTTAGTTGATTGCAATCCTATACTGAGGACTTTTTGTTTTTTCTTTGAACAATAATCATATACTTTGGTTTACAATTTTTGTTATTTATTAATGTAGTCCTTATGTTTCGTATTATTCTTATTGTTTAATTTTATTCTCCCAATAAATCTATGATACATTTTGCATTGTGACAATAGAGTAGCATTGTTATAGGATTTATTTATTACTCTAACAATACTAGGAAAGGCCACAAAATTATTGTTCAATAGTTGTTTACATTTTTTGTTATTTACTAATGTAGTCATTATCTTTAGTATTATTCTTATTGTTTAATTTTATTCTCCCAATAAATCTATGATACATTTTGCATTCTAACAATACTAGGAAAGGCCACAAAATTATTGTTCAATAGTTGTTTACATTTTTGTTATTTACTAATGTAGTCATTATGTTTAGTATTATTCTTGTTGTTTAATTTTATTCTCCCAATAAATCTATAATACATTTTGCATTGGGATAATATTAGGAAAGGCCACAAAATTATTGTTCAATAGTTGTTTACATTTTTTTGTTAATGTAGTCATTATGTTTAGTATTATTATTGTTGTTTAATTTTATTCTCCCAATAACTCTGTGAAACATTTTGCATTGTGACAATAGAGTTAGCATTGTTATAAGATTTATTTATTACTCCAAAGTGTTGAAAAAAAGATGTCGGTAACCCTCATTGGATTTTGGATAAGGTTGCATTGGAGAGGAGGGCCCAAGAGGCATTGAGAGACGTGTGGTGGCCAAAGAGCGGCCCATTACTTTCTTTTCTTTTTTTTTTTTTTCGACTTTTTTATAATTTGGAGACATGTCCCTACCCTTTTTTAAAGAAAAAAGATGGAGAAATACATTGCGCCTCAAAGAAGGTTATTTTAATGTTGAAAGACCCTCTCATTGATCATCTCAACATTGAGACATATGAATATGAAAAAAAAAAACATTAAGTGTCAAAAATAGTGCATCTTGCAACACATTATCTAGACCGTCTATTTTCATAATTTTCATATATTTATAGGTCTACTTGATTTTAACCATTTTTGAAATTTAAATGTTTATAATTAGATGTGAAAATAGATTTTCAGATAACCCTAAAAATATTTTACACTAAAATTACATGCTACGATAAAATTTGGAGGTACGTCTTAATTAGATTATTTAAATGTTAGTGAGATAATATCAGTGGAAATGAAAACCACAACATGGTGACTAGGGTGTGGGGGTGCTCCCACTACGACTCAAGCTATTTCCCAAGAGATACACGTCTTTGGTAGAGAGAAGAGTACTTGTCGAACCTCATGCGAGGCCAATAGACGCCATGAGTGAGAGAGTCCCAAGAGGCACGTCCTTCAGAGTGACGGGCCTTGTGATGTGCTTCTGTGTGAGAGAGGGTGTGCTACATGACTATGGAAACATACCCTCAGAGTGAGATGGTGACACTGGTAATCGAGAGATACCACTCAGCTTTTTTTGCTATGAGTCTGCCTGTTTAAGTTGGCTGTGCTCATTATTCAAAAGCAAAGTTTGAAAAATCACCAATCTGGATCGCCTCATAGGGTTACCAAGTTGTTTCACTCATGGAATAGGGATTGGCTTTCATCTCTCTACTTTATCATATTTTTCTAGGGTTTGATGATTTATCATAGACGGTTTGGAGATCCAAACTTCGAATTGCTATAGCTACAGGGCAGTTTGAAGGTTGAACCGATGAATCACTTTAACTACACCGCAACAAAAAACATTATATAATTTTAAAGTTGGATTTTCAATTTGCACAAATATTGGTTATTTTAGTGTTTAGAGCGAAGTCCAACCTTCCAAGGTAATTTTTCTTAAAAGGTTAAGTGTTTCGAAGGATGCACGTTTAAACCACTTGACTTCACCCATAAGAAAGAGGTAGTTCAAAATTTGACCTTCGAATCGCCCATGCACTTACGTTTCTATTATGGGAAAATATCCTATTATTTTTTATTTTTAACTTCTATATCTCAATAGATCCAAAAATTGAAAATATTACTTGTAAACAAAATGACTCCATCTTTTTTATCTTTCAACCCCTCAAACCTTTTTGACCATGTATTAGTGACCTCAACAACTTATGAAATGACTCTATCTCTCTCTTTCGAAAACTCCATCTCTCTCATATCATCGTTTATCTCTCAAAATTCAATCTCTCTCTAAAACCCAAACTCCATCTCTCACACTCACATCATCGTCTCTCTCTAAACTCCATCTCTCTCCTTAAAACTCAAACTCCATCTCTCTCTCTCTAAAACTTCATCTCTCTCTAAAACCCAAACTCCATTTCTCTCTCTCTAAAACTCCATCTCTCTCACACACATAAGAAGGTGTGCTCGTGTTTGAGCTCAAACTAAACCTCTTGGCTAGTAAATTCACCGAGAAATGAAGAGAGAGAGAGAGAGAGAGATGGAGTTTTAGAGGGAGAGAGACAGAGTTTGAATAGGATGTCATTTTAGTATTTATTTGGGTAAAAAATTTATGATCAAAAGGGTCCAGGGGGTTGTAAGATAGAAAAGATGAAGACTTTTTGCTTACAAGTAATATTTTCAATTGTTGGGTCTCATAAGATATGGAAGTTAAAAATAGGGAATAAAAATATATTTTCCCTTCTTTTATTTAGAACGCTGCATAATTCAGGGGAAAAAAAAAATGGTTCAAATCTTGAACCTTCAAATAAGGGTAAAATAGGAACAAAAAATAGAAAGTTTGGAAAAGACCCAAAATATGGACCATTTATTAATGGTGTGGTTTGTATAAGGCAGAGGCCATGAAGAATCAGAGTAAGGCGCACCTTCAAACAGTGTCAAAAGATGCCATTTCAATACCGAAATTCTTTATGATGATCTAAAAATTTTATGATCATATCTAATTATAAAATTTAAAGCTTAAAAAATAGTGCAGATCAAACAAATTTATGAACACTTGAAAATTGACGTCTAGATAATGCATTACAAGATGCACTATTTCCAATGTGTGAAGTCCACTTTTTTTATAGCGTAAATATATCTAAATGTCGAAATGGTCGGATTTACTGGTTTTTCAGCATCGAAACAACTTCTTCTATTGAATTTTTTAGATGCACCTTAGTTTGATTGTTTAGGGCCTCAACCTTGTATAAACTTTTCCCTTAATTGATTCGATAAGTTATTTAGGTTCTTAGTAACTTTCTCAAAATTTTATTCATGTCTTGCTCGTTTGCTTTGATATGTTATAGTTTTGTGTTCCTCAAGCTCTCGCTTAGTGGTAAGCACATAAGTTTGAGTGAGAGAGGTCAAGGGTTCAAATCTTTAGAAGTTTGTCCCTAAGAAAACTAAACAAAGTTAATCTACCCAGTAACTTAACATTAAACAAACAAAACAAATTGAACCCCTATTTAAATTCAATTCCTACTACTGAACTACCCAAAAGGGCAAAAAAAAAGAAAAAAGTATGAAGCCACATCAAATCATTGCAAATCCGTCTCTGCTTCTTAAAATCCATGAATTCGGACCTGCAAACTTGTGTAAATCTAATGATCTTTGAAGAACCAAAATAAAAGGTCTTGGGGAAAAAGTAGAAAATGAGCCATTTTTAAAGCTTTAGTGCGTATTTTATTTTTTAAAATTCATACTTGTGGTAATCAAAATAATAAATTTGTGAAGTTTTAGATTCTCAATCCATTCCAATATGAATTTTAAAAGGGTGGACACATAACAATGGTACAGGATGCGCATCGACCGTACCTTTTGTTATAAAGAATACAACAAATTTTTTATCTTTCTCATTTATTTCCAAATGAAGGGAGGACTCATCTGGCCTGAAATGGGGTGGGGTTGGGTTAGGTTCGATGGTTCGTGTTTGTTGGTAAATTGGGGTTTAATGCTTTGGAAAATTGATATAAACATAAATCCCATGCACTCAAACTATCAAGAAATTGATAGGAATGGGTACAAGGCTAAGTGGTTATAGTTGTATGGCATTACCATGTGATGTATTGAGTTCCATTTCTACTAAGAACTCTTTCTGCATTGAACTACCAAAAAGGAACGATAAGAAAAAGCTTCTTCAGAGTAGTGTTTTAAAATTTGGAATCTAATTTTGGATCTCCCACTCACAATACCAATCTAGATTAGCTGAATTGGTGATCCAAATTAACTGAATCATCAAAAACACCATTAAAAAATTGTTAAAATATATTAAATTATTTTGAGGGGGAGGAGATGTGGGTCATCCACCCGTCTAACTCAATCCTAATCCACAATTTCCAATATGGATCGTTAGGTTTTAGTCTAAATTGCAATCTGAAAGTCCTCTTTTATCTTTTGGATTGTATATTATGAAACTATTTAACTCTAGTACATGGAGGTCACAATTAATTCTAACTATTAGATGTCCAATTGAATGGCTTGGGGTATGCCACGAAATTCAAGAAATTTTTTGTTGAGCTTTAAGTTTAGTTACAAGTACATTTATAGCCATTTGATTTGAAATTTGATGGACAAGAATGATTGTGATCTCCTTATACTAAAAATAAATAATCTCTTTATATATTTTTTCTTCATCTTTATATCTAAGTTCATTAGATGATTCGCATTTCTTTCTGCTTGACTTTCAATATGAAAAATAAAAGAAAAAAAAAAAAAAAGAGAAAGAGGAAGTGAGAATGCCCTATTCATTTTCAATAAGATTGATAGCCCAAAACAAAACAAAGGCAAATAGTGGCCTAGGCTTTTATTTCCATAACATTTACCAAAGTCTAGCAATATAGTTCTTTCCTTGCCCTCAACAAGTGAGGTTATCCCCAGGGGCCACTCCCAGTTGCTGGCAATAGTTCTGGTAGTAGCCAACCCGGGTCTGTACGGCTGCAGAACCCGGGCCACCGTTGCACTCAAGAGCACCGTTGATGGCACGTATCGTGGCCCCGAAGCCTTGTCCACTCGTTATTGCGGAGTGAACGTTGTTCATCCAAAACCACAATGCAGCCTTGAAAGACGTTACTGCATTGTTCGCTACGGTCTCTGGATCGTTGAGCCCGTCAAACCCGATGCTGTTTCCAGCAGGCCCATAGTTGTAATTCCATGACAATTGGAGGGGACCACGCCCGAAGTACTTCTTGTCCGGGTTGCAACGATACTGGGTGTTCGACTCGTCACAGTAGTCCTTTGATGCACCGTCGATTTCCTCGATGTAACAAAAATCTGCACACGTTTGGAAGTGAGGGTGATGAGTAGGAAATGGGGTGGTTCCGTGGTAGTTAAGTATTGGCACGTGCGTTGTATGGGGTGGAAATAAGCGAGTGTGAGCTCATTTGCAAGAAGGAAAAGCAAACAAATGTGGGAGTGTTTAACGTATTTTTATGGTCCAAAAAGCATATGGTATGTGTTAATATTTTTTTGGACACATGTAGTGTGTATATGATTTTTTGTATGGGAAAATATAGAATGAGACTATTAACCTTTGATACAAGGGGATTACATTAATCTTGACCATTGGATGTGAAATTGGATGGCTGTAATTATTTCAATGGCCAAGTTCAAACTTAAAAGGAAATTTTCTCGAACTTCGTGAGGAAAATATAGAATGAGACCATTAACTTTTGATACAAGGGGATTACATTAATCTTGACCATTGGATGTGAAATTGGATGGTTGTAATTACTCCAATGGCCAAGTTCAAACTTAAAAGAAAATTTTCTCGAACTTCGTGACACATCCAAGCTATCGAATTTCATATCACATCGTTGTAAGTAATTGTGACCACTTTGTATTAAAAGTAAATGATCTCATTGTTTTTCGTTTTGAAGATTAATTGCTAAGTTGAGGAGGTTACAAAACCCAAAGGTTGGGGTCCAAAAAATGATGTTAGATATGAATTTAGCTGAGGGGTTAAATGTAAAATATGCTCCCATGGGAGCATACAAACTTTTGGCAACAAATATTTGCTTTCAAACAATCTTTGCTCTTAGTACAAGACCATTTATTTTGGTACAAAGTCACAACCATCTCTGACCATCAGATTTCAAATCAAAAAACTAGTGTTGTGCCATTGACAAGCTCAAAGTTTAAAAGAAAACTCCTCAAACTTTGTGACACACACTAAGGTATCTAATTTAACATCCGACAATTGAGAGTGGTCGTAACCGCCTTGTATCAAAGATAAATAGTCTTATAATAAATAATCCCAACCCATACATACACAATGAGAGAGAAACTTACGTCCGGTCTCATGTGTCACATGTGCAAAAAAAGCGGCAATCTCCCTCTTCGAATCATCAGTGCTCCCGGTAGTGCCAAAGCCAGAGTACGAACCAAGTGCATTAAGGAACGCATCGCGCGTGTAGAACTGTTTCCCAGCACACGAGCCGTCGGCCTGGCTGATTATTCCGTCAAAGAATGCTTGGGTCACAATGTTCGATACCACGACACCATTGTTGCCACCACCCGTGGGGGCCGAGTTCTTACAGGGCCCCTCTTTACACCCATTACCACAATACTCATCAGTGGAACCACAATATCCATACTGACTACAACATTGATCGGATGGACACCCGCAATTCTGACCCACAACGAATTCCGGTGAAAACCCGGCTAGAATTCCGGCCACAATGGCTGGAATCAGTAGTTTGAATAGCCCCATGTGAGTTTTCTCTATGAAGTCTTGGGATAATGCTGTGGCTATAGATATGTGTTTAAGGCATTAACAATACTATGGCTCAATAGTGCTACTGAGGTGTTGAGGCAGGTTTTGAGGTGGTATATATGGACTATGGATTGGAGTAAAGTAGAAGTTAGGCCAAAAGGACTAGAGAGAGAGATGAGAGAGAAAGAAAAAGAGAGAGATGAGAGAGAATTATAGAGAGAGATGAGAGAGGAAGAGAAAGAGAGAGATGAGAGAGAATGATAAAGAGAGAGAGAGATTGACTCGGTAGGCTAGACTTGTATTGGCCAAGATGTGGAAACCTGCATTGTCAAGGTTTGCATTCCATGTGATACACGGCAACAACACGTTGGCCCGACTTTTATGTTAGGAAACTGGGCTCGGGCTACAGATTCGGCCTTAGCTCGATCCGAGTTACTCAGGGTGTCCAAGTGTACCCTCACGAGTGACGTACGCATTCCAAAGCCCTAAAACATTTTAAAAAGATTATTACAAATAAACTAAAAATTTGTAAAGTTCAAATAAAACCGTAGACAACATGAAAAGGTCTAGAAATAGTTGGAGAATAAAAAAACGGCACGTGGTTAAAAATAAAAATAAAAAATTGTAAAGATCAAATAAAACCCAAACATAAAAACTTTAAAGGGAAAGTATATGATGAGACCATTTTTTTTTAATGGAAGGTGATCACCATTAATTGCGACCATTGGATGTGAAATTGCATGACTATATTTATTTTATTGATCAAACTTAAAGTTCAAAAAAAAAAATTTCGAACTTTAAGACACACCTAAGCTATTAGATTTCATGGTTGTAAGTAATTGTGACCTTTCTATATTAAAGATATGCATAGATTTATAATTTAATATATATTTTTATATTTGTTTTTTTGGGTCAAAAAGCTTGATGGATTGTGTTTACTCTTGGGATAAGACATTTTGCCAATGTCTTAGGGCATGAGTTCAAATTCTATTTAGATTCGTCGTAGACCTCAAATAATTGGTCACTAAAATGATTAGACACCATATACCCAATCCAAAAATTTATCACTAAAATGATTGGTCACTAAAATGATGATGACGATGATGATCGGTCACTAAAATGATTAGACACCATATACCCAATCCAAAATAATTAATCACTAAAATGATTGGTCACTAAAATAATTGGTCACTAAAATGATGATGACGATGATGATTGGTCACTAAAATGATTAGACACCATATACCCAATCCAAAAATTTCTCCTAACCGGGATTTAACTGCGGATGTAACTATATATTTAACTCCCGTGGGAGCATGTAATCTTTCCCTTAATGCTTATAGCCCTTTTGATATCTCTCTTTTCTCTCTTGGAATGGACCTCTAAATGTTCCTTGACTTGTACTTTCTTCTCTCCAAGACAATAAAAATAAGAGAAAGCATATTCTCCTATTTAATTCCTTAGACTATTAGCATTTATATTGACTTGACCAATCAGAACCCAATATAAATGAAATTGCAGTGAAAGTTTGAAAGATATTTTTCTTTACAATTTATTATTTACCTGACAGATCATAAACCCAAATAAAGGAACCGAAAATGAAAGTGATTATTTTGTACTATCCAAAAGTTCAGGGATTAGGACCAGCACCGACTTGAGCCATAAAATTTCTGGTCCAATTTAATTAGAGGTTTGACCAATTACCATTTAGACCATTGAGAATAGATCAAAATTCTTGAATATATCATTTTATTTTTTCTAAAATTTATATTTTTTGGAAGATCCGGGTTTCAGGGAACGGGCTAACTACTGTCTGGTCCATTCCGATAACATTAGGACCATTCTTCTATTGTCCCGGCTCGGTTTAGCTCGGCTTAGCTTCCCTGTTTATTGGTAGTTAAGATTTAAGTATGTGAATCCGGTTCACAGCTTTCTAAGAAGTGAAGATGTTTGAGCTGATCAAAACCCGACTCAGCAGTCAACATTAGGGTTGCCAATGGGCCAGGCCCAAAACTTGTGTGATAGGCCTTGCCTTGGGCCGGAAAATTTCACTTCAGAATAGGCCAAGAATCTCACACGTTGGTCAAGAATCCGGTTCACAAATTTCTTGTAGAGTAGTTGGAATTTGTTTCTCAATCTTATGTGCATGTTCCGCATGAGCCTTCTCTTTACGACTGTCATGAATATATTAAAAATGTGTATTCTTATATTTAATGTGGATTTTCTCTTCTTGAGGACTAAAAGCCTTTTTTTCCTTTTATTATAATACACAATTTTATTTTTTTAAAGGCTTATGGTTTTCGAAAGGATTTTATTTTGAAATAATATCTTGTATTTTTTTCCTACAAAGGCGATCAACAAATATACTGACGAATCAGCTAGATGAGGAGCAACTTAACTTTCCCTAATTCTAGTTTCTCTTATAATACTTGTAAATGAAAATAATGTCACCATTGAAGGAAAAAAGAAAAATCATAGTTTTTTTGGGCCTTGGCTCGGCCAGACCCCTCAATGACCAGGTCTTTACCAAACTCATGCAACACACTTTGAACTCTCTCTCTCTCTCTTTTCTTTTCTTTTCTTTTTTTCTTTTTTTTTTTTTTTTATTTTTTTTTTTTAACTTTAAATCGAGGATCAGAGAGAGTCAGTGAACTCTCTCTCTCTCTTCTTCGGTTCACATCACATGACCAAGTCATCCATTCAATGCTCTGACTCTCTTCAATGCTCTCTCCCTCTTTAATTTACGGCACGGTTCAATTGTTCACCTCAGCATCACTGGTAAGTCCTTGTCGTCATTTTCAAGTAGTTTACGAGCTAAAAAAAAAAAAGTTAAAAAATATAAAAAATAAAAAATAAAAATAATGAAATAAAAAAAAAGCAAATTAGGAACTACAGTAAAAGTCCAAAAATCGATGAAAAAATATGTAAAAGATTGAATTTAGAAAAAAATTCATTTATATTTTGAAACAATTACAAAAAATCCAAAAATAGGAAAACTGAAAATATAGCATTAATTAGAAAACAAAAATAAAAAAAATAAATAAATTTTAAAAATTGAAAATAATGATTCTAGTAAAAAAACATTTGGAACGTTAGTTTTTATTGTTTTTAGATGGATCCATCGTTATCCATCTTTAAGATGGATGCTTTTACACTTTATGAAATCCAACCCGCATGAAACAATTTTCCCTAAGAAAACCTCACAAATCTCATAAAAAAATTATACATAATTATCTATAAGTTGATTTAATAAAAATTATTATTTTTATATTCTTCTATATAACTTAGTTTATACCTAAGAACTCGGCTCGGAAAGGCATCGAGTATGAGTGTCGCGTCCGAGTCCACCTGTCCAACTTTAAAACCATAATTCATCACAATTGGCAAAAAGCAAGCATCGTTTAGTACAAGGTAAGAAGTTTAGCTAGAGTTATTTAAAGAAAAAAAGTATATAAAAAAACCATTTACCTTTTGCACAAAAAAGTCACAATCACTCGTTCTTTAAATTTGAATTGATACAAAGTTTTTTAAAAAAAAAATCCAACTTTGTCACTCATCCAAAACCATCCAATTTGACATCCTACTAAAAATAGTTATCACCTCCTTGTAATAAACCTCCTTGTAATAAAGGTTGTAAACGTTGTAATAAAGGTAAATAGCCTAGACAATCCCATTTTAAGTTTCCAACTAACATTAACTAAAACGTTAGTGAATTGTTCACTCTGATAATGTATTCTTAAATATTTATTTTAATAAAATTAATATATTATTTATTACTTTTTATTCCTCTTTTCGAGTAATAGAATTATTAGTTATTTTTATAAGTTTTTCTTTAATTTCTCATATCTTATTTTCTTTCTTTTGGCACAACTAGTTTGGGTTTTTTTCTTAGTGAAGTATAAAACAGTTTAAAATGGGGTATTTTATTTAAAAAAAATTTTTACGTAGTCTTCTTTTAAGGAATTTATACTTCAGTGGGAGGTCCAATTTTTAACTTGATGGACTCTATTCAATATTGTGTCATATAAACTTTTTTCATGTAAACCGTTCAAAGATGATTCCTTG